CTCTAGGGAAGAGTTTCTTCACTTCCAGTTATAGTGACAGTGGTCACGGGACAGAAAATGAAGGGGAAATCTTCCCAGTGGTGACACACACAGCAATAAAACCTGAGCAAGCTTACTTTTTGGATGCCCCTAAAACAGTGTTTCCCAACCTCTTTTCCGTCACGGCACCTTTTAAAAGTATGCAAAATCTTAAGGCAGTCCAGTCTAAAATATAAAAAACGTAAAGAAAAAAAAATTATATTTGGTCCCCCCCAAAATCCATACCAGACCCTTAGCCTAGACAGAGGTCTAGTATTGGTTTTAAGGGGAGAACCCAGGCAAAGCAACAAAATAAAAGATGATGTGGAGTTTCTGCTTTCACATCAAAGTCACCCCTTTTCACATTAGAGGCCCCCCTTTAGCAAATGTTTTAAGGCACCCCAGGGTGCCAAAGCATCATGGCCGGTGCTAGGTTATTTTGTGCCCTAGGCAATATCAGCTACGTGCACCACCTAGGAGGGGGGCTCCTGCAGCGCAGCCCCCAATTCCCCTGCATGTGCGGCCCCATTCTCCTGCTATCTAGCTTCCACAGGTGATAGATGAATGAAAGCAGCCGGAACAATAGCCAGACTGCTATTGGCTATTTTAATTTTAAAAAGCCAATAGTAGACTGGCTATTGAAACACCAGCAACTGAGCAGGGGAGCGGACCTGAGAGAGAAAGGTGTCTCTCAGTTCTGCTCCTCTACTCAGTGGGCAGGTGCAATAGCCAGCCTGCAATTGGCTTTTGCAATTTGAAAAGGGGGGGGGGGCACCGTGGAGGAGGGAGTGGTCGAGGCTGCACCCTAGGCGGCTGCCTAGTGGCAGCACTGGCCCTGCACAGCACCCTGGTTGAGAAAGGCTGTCCTAAAACAGAATGCAGTGCCTGAAGTACATGCTGCAAAGATAGGTACTGACATAACATTAAGAAGAAAGAGAAACCATCTAACAAAAGTAGCCATGGATAAATGAATACTTTCATAATGCTGTTTTACCACTGAATTTGGTGTGTTGTCTAGAGTTAAAGGAAGATAACGGTTGTTCGTACATTATGGGACTGTTTAATCACATTTGTGAATTAAAAAGAGAAGCAATTCTCTGCACTACACAGAACAGACTTCTGAGTAATCTTCTGTGAACTTTCTCCATTCATGACATATTCTCTCTCTTGTCTCTTAGCCTCCAGGAGGCAGTAAAAATTTATGGGACTTAGTAGCAGTGTTAAAAGGTCAAGATGACAGCCTTCTCCCTCAGAACTACTGCAAAGGAATTATGCACATGAAGCATCTTGTCAGATTTAAGACAGTAAGTACAATCATCAATTTTACTTATTCTTCAGTACGCTGTTACAATAATTTCCAGATCTTAGTAATTACCATTGGTATAAAAGACCTGTATAAAAATAGGAGAAAAGTGGAGACAACACCCATAGCAATTTCAATGATCGGGCAATATCAGATTTTGCCATAGGTATTCTGATGCTATAGAACAGTAATTTAATTGCCACAATTAGTAAGTTTCTTTAAAGCCTACCTCCAGGTCCCCCCTCATTTCTGATCCCACCTTCCCCTTGGAACATCCCCTGTACCCCATTATTTTAAAATAAAATGAATATGCATGCTTTTTTCCCATTGGGCGTCTCTGTGGTTGCGCAGGCCCAATTGCAGCACAAACCACCGTCACATAATTACATTGTTTTGTAACATCCTCCTGTACTCACAGAATGTGGGTTGGATGATGCTGGGTGTCACTGAACCTGGGCAAGGACTGACCCTATCACAGAGCAGTGAGTCTGCAAAGGGCAGTGCCGTTGTCACTTTCAGCGTCTGATGACGAATTTCCCAACGAATCACTATCGCTCAATTCTGCAAGTGATTCTAATTTACTATCGCTGTTTTCTACATGGCCTAAAACCGCTTTTGACCTAAAGGGACGCTTTTTGGATGCCATGGACGTTCTCAAGTTTCATGGCGGAAACAGCAATAAAAGTGCAGGCAGGGCACTGGACAAAGCTCTAGGGACAAAATTGAAGTGAAATAGTTTGATACATAAGTGTAATCATAGCCAATTACATTGTATTGTGTGTATTCTGTGTAAATGTCATGTTTGCACTTTTGAATTTCCCGCCGGCTCCGCCCCCCGCGGTGACGCCTGAAACACGAAACTGAAAGCCGAATGCCGGCATCGGCCGGGCGCACACAGCAGAGGACACCGCGGGCTAGTATCTAAACCCAAAAGCAAATATGTAATATATTGCAGATATAAATAAATAAAAATTCAATGAAAATAAGAGGAAAGTCTAAAAAAAAAAAGAAAACTAATGCTTTAGAGTTTACATCAGTGAATTTGTCATGACAGTAAATTAAGATGGAACAGCTTGCAAATGCATTATGAGATTTGTGATAACCTTAAATTCTAAGCTCCTTGAAGGCAGGCACTGATGTGAATGTGCACTATGTAAAGTGCTGTGTAAATTGTCAGTGCTATATAAAATACTAATAATAATAATAATAAATGATGCTGAAGATGTACGAAAAAAAATGCAGAGATGAAACAGTCCCAATGATTATATTAGCACAGATCATATCATGTATTGCGTGTGCAGTTTCACATGCATTTATAGCAGATGCACCAAAATTGCAATAGCCTTACTCGGGGTTGAGGTTTTAGTACCAAAGTGAAATTAGATGCAATGTAAATGCAATATATATTATATAACAGAAAATAAAATATTATTGATAAATATTGACCAGATGTATGTATCCCTGACAGTCTAAAGCCCAGGAGCTAACAACAGTGAAGATGTCCAAGTTTGGTGGTGGCATTGGTGCTCCAAGTAAAGAAGAGCGGCTAAAAGAAGCTGCAGAGATCCATTTAAGGCTTGGACAGATCCAAAGATATTGTGAACTATTAGTGGAACTTGGAGAGGTACAGAATACAGTTTCATATTTGAGGTTGCTAAAATGACATTGAAATCTGCACAAATTGTTCCTCTGTGGGTGGCCACATTCTAAGGTACATCTGCCAAAATTCGGAAAATGTAAATGCACTTATTCTTTACTGTGTGTTGTTTTTATAATCTGTCCAGATACATTGCATTTACTAATTCACATAAGGGATTACATCACATCATCAATGCAAGATCGTCATGTAGTATTTCTTGTTGTATTTTACTAGGGATGCACAGATACTTTTCGAGTACCAATGCCGATACTTGGCATTTTCATGAGAACTCCCAGGGTTGCAGAGGTTGCAGCTGGGACCGGGCCCCGGCGCTCCACCGCTGTCCTGAAATCATTAATCTGTATTGTTTTAGAAAAACTGTCACACGACAATAAACAAAAATGTATCAGTACTCGTACTTGTCAGTACTCAGCAAGTACCAGTACTCGTACTCGCAAAACTGGTATCGGTGCATCCCTTTATTTATATTTATAAAAACAAAATCGTACATTAAAACAGAGATGTACAAATCCCGGGAGCTCCGCGTGCTCCTTACAAATGACAGCTGCCTCCTAACTTTTGCATTTTTCTCTAGTCTAGTCTTAGAACTCAAAAGTATCGGTACTTGTACTCATACTTGTACCAAGTACTGTACTTGGTATCTGTGCAACCCTATATTTTACCAAATTATTTAAAGTGATTTTGTCACCAAGATGCCACCCAGCTGTAACGAAGAGGAATCAACACCAGTAACCAGTAATAAGGAAAGCAAAAAAAAAACTGGTATACACCCAGGCAGCTCACATGCAGACTCAATGCTGCTAAAGCTAGACAAATTCAGTATACTTATCAATGGCAGTCTATGAAAGAATACAAATGAATGCTGTTTGTATTAATTATTGTATTTCTGTTGTAGTGGGATAAGGCACTATCAGTGGCTCCCGGTGTTTCTATGAAATACTGGAAAAAATTAATGCAAAGGTGAGTAAACATTATTAAGAGCCATATGTCACAAGTCAATCCCAGTTCTTTTAAGGTCTGAGAATTGGTACTGCCCCACCAATATAGGGATCACCTGAAGTATACTGTAGCTATGACTCTTTGTTACAAAGGGCACATGCTGAATTAATAAAACACTATATTACTCCTCATTAAAGTGAACGCGTCCTCAGTCTATACACAATAATCTATGTACATATTCCAAACAAGCAGTAAAACGCACTACTTTAAACCAAGCCATCATTCGCCTCCGTAGCTATAGATATTCTACAGAAATTCATTATTAAATCTCACAACAGAGGCACAGAAATCTTATTTTTTTTCTATGAGAGCAGATTTTGGCTTCCTGCTAGCCCTGTAATGTAAACAACCAGCTGATGATTTGACCTGTTAAAGCTGCCCGAGATCCAACTCTAGAGTATGAATTGCTTCACATTGCAAGAGAGGCGAGTCAGGGCTTGTTTTGTCTACTAATAGTGAAATATATGTAAATAGTGTATTATCAATAGGCACAGGTGAACTATAAAGAATGGTATGAAGCAATTTTTATATTTGTACTAAATTCCTAATGGCTGCTTGATGGGACATTTCTGTGAAACAAATACATGTACTTAGAAAATAGATTAGTATACCAATGTGTCCCCCTGCACTCCTTACAGCATTTTGGACCAGTAGTGCTTGTAATGATAATCACAGATGGCGCCGTGCACATCAATCAGTAGACAACGAAGATCACCAGCACTCAGAGAATGATGTTCAAAATTCGGTGACCACTATAGTGTCACTATCTTGCCCTGATGAAGGGACCCTGCGTGGCCCCGATAAGTTGGCTATGTGATATCTGTGATGATGTGTTTGATTAAATGAACACTGAATTTTGAAAATCATTCTCTGGGTGCTGGTGATCTTCGTTGTCTACTAAGAAAATAGCTGGCATTGCTGTACTTTCCCTTTGAAAATGATAGTTGCCTGGCTGTTTTTTTTTATCAACAGGCTTCATCGCTTTTTTGGGGCACTGACCCAGAGCTAGTATGCAGCTCAGGTGTTCTGAGTTCTAAAGTCACATGCTGCATGTTTGTTCAGGGTTAGTGACTCAGAAAGCATTAACATCAGAGACAGACAGGTGACTATTTCCAGAAGAAGCTTAACAATAGCAGCCTTTATATTTCAGTACTGGTGTTCTTTATATAAAAGCTACCATTAGTAACATGAATTTAAAAACTAAAAGCCTTTCCTGTGTTGTCCCAGCATGCTCTACAACACTGTGACCTTGCCTAGTGTGACAGATTCACTTTATTGAAATATTTACATGTATGCTGTGTCTTAGATATTTGAATTTTGTATATGTTCTGTGCTTTTTCTTTTTAGAAGAGCAAGTCAGCTGATTGAAGAGGAAAATGACGATGTAATTCCCTACTGCATAGCTACTGGTGATGTGAAAAGACTTGTACATTTCTTCACCTCCAGAGGGCAACTTAAAGAGGCTTTACTGGTGGCACAGGTATGTCTGTCTTCTGTTCATACTGAATCTTATTTTATTTATTCATTACTGGTATCTATATTGCGCTGACATTTTACGCAATGCTTTACATTCACATTAGTCTCTACCCTTAAGGAGCTTACAATCTAAGGTCCCTATCTCACATACTAGGGTCGATTTAGACCACAGCCAAATAACCTTCCACTAAGTCTTTGGAGAGTGGGAGGAAACCAGAGTACCCAGAGGAAACCCACACGAACACAGAACAAGCAAACTCCTTGCAGATAGTGATCTGGCCGGGATTCGAACCAGGGACCCCCAGTGCTAAAAGGCAGAAGTGCTAACCACTTTATTGAGTGAAGTTTGTTTCTGCTACAAATGCTTATTGCTATAAGGTATCCTCTGCACTGACAAACCCATTGTTGTAACATTCTAGATATGGTGATATAAGATGAAAAAGAACAACCTTAGCCTGTTAGAAATGCTTTTTGATTGTTTTCTAACAAAACCACTGTAGATACACACTGGGTACAATATGGAAGACTAATTCCCATTTCCTAATATTATCATTTTACATCTTATTCCATATGAACTACGGTACCATTGGGGTTTATTTAAAAAAAAAAAAAACAGCTCAATAATATTGGAGAAATAAAAAAAATATTCATGTCATAGGTCACAAAATATTTTCTATATGTAGTCCAATGAAGAAACCTGTTGATATTCAGAAGACTTGTAGAAATCTGTTCACATTCAGATAATCAGTGTTTTGCCCAGTGCAGTATGTGTGCCACTGAAAATATATAGCATTAGTGTAGGTGGTACGAGCTAGCAAGATTTATGTGCAGCATGTAGACGCTAATATTCAGCTCTGAGCTACTAATACTAGTAGGAAGCATGAAAACTTAATCAACAGACTGCATGTATTTTGGCTTTTGTGTGCACTAGGACCATTTTAAAGAAGGCAGTATATTGTGAATTAGAGCTTCACATTTGGCAAATGTGAGAAAAGTCAGTGAGGCAGACACGTGAATGACTTTGTTAATGTTGCTGGTTAAGTCTGAAGTGATATCTGATATAGCTAGTAGTGTATAGCTACACATAATAACCTTTAATAGTGCAAGTGATTCTCAGACACTGCAAATATGGTGAAACACTACATCCATAACCTTCTTTGAGGGAAATATCTTTGTACAAAAACTTCCAGTACAAATAATAAAGCTGTCTTTTGAACACTAGACTGGTGGGGTGTGCAATCTTTGACTGCACACCCATGTGAACTGCTATAGGTAGAAAAATGGGCTTGTCAGCTAAAGCATTGCAAGTTTAGTTGATGCTAATAGCGCGTTTATATGAAACAACTAGGGCCTGTTTCAGTAATCTGTGAAAGCACCTAGGGCGAGGAGTAACTGCTTCTATCAAAACCCGCTACTACTACTCTTTTATTTCTTTGTAACATTACTTTTCTTTTTCCTTTTACTCCTTA